GAATGTGTAGAACTTCAAAAGGACAAAAGGTGCAGTGAACAGGTAGGTGGTAGATGAAGTTCAATGCGGAAAATTGGGACATGATGGCTCTAAAGGGTGTGCAATAGCAGACAGACCTTGTTTTAAGACGATAAAAATGAAACAGTAGTAGGCTGTTTGGTCCCTCAAGCCTGCTCTGTCAGGCAATAGGATTGTAGTGAATCGGCATTCCTCACATCCACTGTCCTGTGTTTTCCCCTTAACTCTTGATTCCCTGACTGATCAAGAATCCTGTCTGCCTCAGACTTAAATTTACACAAGGACTCTGCCCACACAGCTTTGTGGCAAGGAGTTCCAAAGACACTCCATCTTCAGACAGAAGAAATTCCTCCTCAACTCAAGTCTTAAAATGGCACCCTTTTATTCTGAGACTTTTCCCCCTGATCATGGAGGAGAAGCATCCTCTCAGCATTTATACCCTGTCAAACCCTTTAAGAATCCTATGTATTTCAATGAGATCACTCCTCATTCTTCTAAACAACAGTGAGTATAGTCCCAACCTGTTTACCTTTGCTCATAAGACAATTGCTGCATACCAGGGATCATCTAGTAACCTTCTCTGAACTACCTCCAATGATTTTTTTTAAATAAAAAGGGACCAAAAACTGCTCTCGGTACTCCAAATATTGTCTGACCAGCACCTTCTGGACTCGTATTACACTTCCCAACTCTTGTACTCTAACCACCCCCACCCCCCCCCCCTCCCCCCCCCCGGCCCTTTGAAATAAGAGCCAACATTTCAATGACCTGCCTTATTACCTGATATATGTGAGTGCTAAGCTTGATGTTTTGTGCACATGTACACCCCCCAATCCTTTTGTGTTGCAGCTTTCTGCTATTTTTCTCCATTTGAATAGTTCTTCAGTTGTCCATTCCAAAATGAACAACTTCACATTTCCCACATTATATTGCATTTGCCATTTTTGCCCACTTAACCTATCAGTATTTGTCTGTTAACTGTTTGTATCCTTCTTGCAATGTGCCTTTTCATCTGTTTTTGTGTCATCTGCAAACTTGGCTATAGTATAGTCACTTACTCCTCCAAATCATCAATATATATTGTAAACAGTTGCAGTTGCAGCACTGACCTTTGTTCACAGGTCACCAAACCGGGACAAAAAAAGCCTTATCCCCAATCTCTATTTCCATTAGCCATTAAAGATGGTGGGACAAGTGGAGTGCAGTCAATAAAGAGTTACAAAATTGTAATCTTTATGAAAAGAAACAGCACAGGAGCAAGAAAATTATCCTGAACACAAATAAGACACTAGTCAGACCTCTGTATTAGATATGGTTCTGGACACCTCGCTTCAGGAAGGATCTAAATGCATTAAAGAGAGTGCAGAAGAGATTTACTTGAATGATTCTAGTAATAAGTTTCAGCTATGAAGACAGATGGGAGAAATCCTTAAAGAGGAGAAGAGAAGATGAGATTTGAAAAAAATTTCAAAATCACAGGGGTACGGACAGAGTAGATAAGAAACTTCCCACTTGTAAACGAATCAGGAATGACACGGTACAGATTTAAAGTGATTTGCAAAATATGTAAACGCAATGTGAGAAAATACTTTTTTGCACAGGGTGTAGATGAAGTCTGGAATGCGCTGCATGTAAGTATGGTGAGGAAAGGTTCAATTAAGGCATTCAAAAATCCATTAGATAATTATTCTCACACAAAGATTGTTTCGAGTTATGGGGAAAAGGCAAGAGAATTGCATTTGGTCATAATGCTGTTTTGGAGAGCTAGCGTAGACACGGTGGGCTAAATGGCCTCCTGCACATTAATAGTAGTGATCTAGCTCTATTTTAAGCAGTTCAATTGATTTTCCATATTTTCATAACTCGTTAGCTAAACAAATTCCTTCTGGTTTAACTGTTGCTCAAAGACTGTAGGTGGGAAGTCAGTCGCTCTGATGGGGTTTTATGGAGTGTTACCAGACACTTGCAGCTTATGCACTATGTTAAAGCTTGGGCATCCCGGCAAGCATCAGAAACAACTGAAACTGATCCTATCATGACATCACAGCCCTGTTGGCTGACGTAATGCCTATTTTACAAATTTGATCCATGCAAGTCTCTTCAATGTTTGCATACCACTCCACCAAAGATCAAGCAGGGTAAGTATATTTGAAGAGCCTATACAATTGCAAAGTGTCTGAAAGTGCTATGAAGTAATGTTCCATTCTCATAGGAATGACAGGCTTAATCACATGAAGATTGCAACAGGAAAAAGGGCTGCGATTTTAGTGCCTCTGGATTTTGCAGCATGATAGGGAGCTGGAGCAGAAGCTTAAGAGGGAAAGCTGTGCAACGCACTCCAACTTGCTGGATTTCTCAATATACCGCAATAGTAACAGGAGATTGACAGATGTAGGAAGCAATGACTGACCTATGTGTGCATACCCATCAGTGTTTACCTTTACATCAAAGCCTTCATCTTAATACCCTGTACAAGAACTCATCTGTGACCTTCCAATCAGCTAGCGCACACAAACTATCCATCACCCCTAGGCTGGCTTTAGCACATGTGTGCCTAGTAACTCAGCATGTAAGGCCTCTCAATTCTATACCAGTCTTAGGTAAGTGCAATGTCTGTATCTCGAAGTGACTGCAAGTATCAGATCACATGATGAGGCCTCTTCTCAGCACTGTACTGTTGTTGTCTCTTCTGGGGCTGCTGGATTGGGTAAGTTCTTGCAATTTTTTAAAGCAGAAAAATCACAGAAGTTGCTGTAAGAATTGGTGAGTATGGAAGATGGGCTGGAAAATGAAGTTCACCCTCCCTGGCGATACCATGTGCAGTTTGTGCATCATGTCAATAGCAAAGTGAGGTTGGAGTTGAGAAGTGCATACAATAAGAGCAAATTGTCAACATAAATGTTTAGTGATGCCATAGGTAGCCCGAGAATGTTGAGAGCCATTCCTCCTACAGGATTCAGTAAATGTAGCCATCCTTATCCTAAGTAATCATGCTCCATTCATTTCTCTGTTGTATGCCACTTTTTGTCCTAAAAGAAAAGGGCAGAATCTGAGTGATTTGCCAACTATCATTATGGTTGGAGACCATGAGAAGTGGATGTGAGATTTGTAGCTTTAAATGCAAGGATGAGGTGGAGTATCTAGATAATATCCATTAGTCCTGAGCATAAGGGGCTGGTTTGAGTGTCTGATGGGACTCTTGCATTAAGCAATAGGAGGAGCTGGTGAAGCAATGGTGAGCTGATATCATGGAAGATTCATTCACTGACCTTGACAATCCACGTCAAGTGATTGGAAAGTCATTAGACGACTTACGGCACTGCTGTAAGTACAATATATTTACAACTGAGGCTGAAGGAATACACCGTCGCTCTAGTCCCACTACTCCATAACACAATACAAAAATACACTTTCAAGTTAGCAAAATGACCAATTAAATAACTCATCTAAACCTAACATTTTAAACAAAACAAAATCTTATCAACTAGGTTTCCTAATGGTTTTTATGGTCCTGGTCCAATTATGCGTTTTTATCAAATTAATACCTTATTGAATAGAGATGGCGATAGTTGGTTAACATATTTAGTAACATAGAAGTCCAAATTATTGTCCCTGCCACTATCCTCAAAAACAAAACACACACACAAGAGCATCCCACCCAGACCACCCCTCGGCATATATGGTTGTCTCTGAAGTCTTGTAGAACAGTTTGCTCACCAAATACAATCTTGAGATGTTCTTTCAGTCACTAACACCAAAGAACAAGTAGGTTTCACCCTGAACTGATGAGTTTTTCGGAAATGGTTGTGATCAGCTAAAGCAGCTTGTTCACAGCAAGCTTCCTAGAATTCAGCTAATTCTTAGCAGGCTTTCCTCCAAGTAACCTGGTTTAAAAAAAAATTTCACCAAGCCAATCATTCAAAACAGCCTCACCAGGGTCTACTGTAAGGCAAGCAGTTATTACTGGTCATGTGATTTCTAGGAAGCCTTGCTAAAAATAATCTCCAGTGACCATTCAATGACAACTTTTGAAGAAACTACTCAGGTTTGCCCACAAAAAATGAAAAAGTCCTTTTGTCCAAGATCTTTAAACTTAAATCCTCCAAGCATTATTAACTAAAAAGTGTCTTTGTAACAGTATACAATAGAAAGTTTGTAAAGCAGTATTTAGGCTTCTTGAGAATCACTTCTGAAGATGTAACACTATAAGATTTACTGAGCCAAGACCTGTTTTCTCACCAGAAATCATCAGGGCATTTCATTTGTTATCATCTACTCCATTAGAATATTGTAATGTTATCCCAACCAGAGTATAAAATTGACATTTAACTGACTGTTGGAATTCAGAAAAGAACACCTGAACACTGCAAGTTTAGCTTTATAGATGACGCACTATTGTATGCAAATAAATGATCCATCTGTGCAGCTAGACAGAAAAGAAATTCTATTAACAAAGCATTGAAAATATTATTCCTGTTCATGCAAGCAGTTCAGAATGCTATGATATGTAATTTTGAACTATGCATCAACAAAACCAGAAGGCCTCCTACATTATAGCAGCTTTGGTTTGAAGGAGCCACATCATTTGCGTTAAATGTAGGTTTCGGTAACTGGGCACTAATATAACTGACCTCGGAACATGAAACCTTTTACGTTTTTCCTAAACAAAATAAGGATGGAATGTGCATTGCAGTGTCAGTATGTACTAGTCTCTTATTGGCTGTTGATATTAATTAGCAGTGGTTCAAAGGTTAAAACATTAATTACCCAAATTGGCACAGTTCTTAAACCTTTTAAACAAAATTGCAGTCAGCAAGTAACAAATGATGTATGGGGCAAGTGGAAAAATTCATAAACATTGTAAAGGGATGTCAAGATCACACATCCTGATAAGTGATCATTGTTTAAAATGAGCATCCCTTTCTTTCCTACAACTTTCTAAGTTTGTCATAACAAAATTAGAAGAAAATATTAATACTCACAAATTGATCAGAGGATGTGACCTTGATACCGTATTTGGATACATATAAAATACTCTCTTCTTCTGATGGTGTAAAGGGTAATTTTCCATATTGCTGTAAGAGAAAACGCACAATAGGGAGACATTTGACATTTTACCAAACTGTAAAACATAACGGATTGATGAAAATAGGAAATTGTTAAAATCAACTTAAGAGCTTCTGTTTGGGAAAAATTTCAGTTGTAAGGTAATTAAAGTGCTAAGCTTTAGAAATTCCCTGATCACCTTAGAATATAGAAGCATGGTTTCACATGTACCTGAGGGGGTCAGAATCAGGAGGATGAAAGTCTTGAAAAGTGAAGGTGGCCTTCATTTACTTGTGGAATTTCAGACACCCAGTTTTCAAGATAATTAAATCTATTGGGCATTTTACTAATCTCTGCTGTTGTACAGATTAGTAATTCAGTCTGGAGTTTTGTTTGGAATTCCGGGAAATTAATGTGGGACTCTTCAACAGTTGTTTAGGTTTAGAGTTAAAAGCACCTAAGTTGACAGGGCGAAGGACCTGATTTAAGCAGCCAGAGAAAAAAAGTCTGCTAAGAGTTGAAAAGCAGCATAGACCAGAGCAAAAGGACAGTCACAAATCAAGGTTATTTTATGCTTTTCAACCCATGTTCTGTTTAAAAAAAAAAAAAAGTGCAGAATTATGAGGCACTTAAGAAATGCAGCAGGACCTTTTAGTTAAAAGCTAATAGAAGCAGTCACTGTTTTGATATTATCCAACCATGTTGCCTTTGTAGTGTTTTCCAGGTGTGGTGTCACATAACCTTTTACCTAACACTGCTTTTGTTCGCATCATGTACCCAAAATAAGAGCTTTCCTGCTATCAATTCTTCAATGTTCTTTTTAACACTAGACTGTATGCAATTTCTGTCCAAGTCCTTTCGATTCAAATGCTCTTATTTGATCCTCATCATTAATGGTCCAACTTTCACAGCCATACCTTGCCACCAGCCACACAGGGCTTTCAGAAGAGGAAACCTCTTTGCATGTGATGTGTTGTGACAGCTTCACACTCCAATGAGTTTTGGCAGACTTGGCAAATTGCAGTAGGATCCAAGCTAAATGACAGGATCAAACTATTCACGCTGAGCTTTGTTAATCAGAAACTTGCAGGTCTTTTCCGTTATCTCCATCACCTTCAACTTGTTAAGATTAATCAGGAAACTATACTTAATTATGTTCACAAAAGTGAAGGTTTGTTCACAGCAGAAATTGATAAGCATTATTGTAACTTCCATCATCTTACCTGTGCCAAATCGATATAATTAATCAAATCTTGTGGTCCTTGAAGACAATCAAATAAACTGGCTTTCAAGTTTTCAATAGCCCCCAAATACTTCACTCTGAATTCAGTGCATGTGTCAAAGTTACTGTTACTCTGTCCTGTAACAAAAGCATAAAAACACAACTTGTCTTCTTCCAGTGTTTAGCCAGTACTCAAAAAAAATTCTTTGGATTAGTTTAACTCCTGCACAAAACTGGCACCAAGTTCTTCTACTTTTACTGGTAAATGTTTTATTTAAATTATGATTTATTGGAAACAGAAAGCAAGTAATCAATTGTCAACTTGCCCCAAACACCACCAACAACCAACAATGCACACACCCCCAAATTTTCTTCCCCTTCCCTTCTCAACTCTTCCCAGCTCAGGCTGGAGTATATGTTTCTACAGGCTGCTACCTTGCCAGGTAGTCACTTTTGTTTGTGAATTTAATAGTTTATTTCTGGGAGAAGGCTTCAAAGACCATCATGGGAACCAAAACTGATATCTTCCATTCTTAGCCTGGGCATACTGAAGTAGTACTCTTGTCGCTATTCCAGCTCTGATCAACTGAGTTCAGGGCAGACCAGGATCTGCCCCGTCTATTTGATTTCTGAAGCATATTTACCCACTGAGCTAACAAGGAGTCCAGAGCATTTTTACATCCATGCTTACAGCTGTTTTTCAAAAGGTACAAAATTACTTTGTGCACTGTATATGGTGCTTTAATAAATAAAATTCATTTTTTTTAAAAAATAATCTGCTTTGTGGAATTATAATTTGAAAAGCTTGCAGATGACACAACTGGGAAATGCTGCAAACATTGAAGATAACAGACTTGAGGAGAACATATACAGACAGATGAAAATTAATGATAATGTGTGGGAATGCATTCTGGTGGAAAGAACAAAGAGACAATATAAACAACATGGTGGGGTCTGTATGTCTTTGAAACAGGTAGAACAAGATGAGAAGACTTTTTTGTTTACAAAAAACGTACATGTGTGATTTATGGCTTTATAAATAAAGGGATAGAGCACAAAAATCAAGAGAGTTATGTTTAACCCAGAAGTCATCAATTTGTGTCGCGTTTAATTCAGGGTACCACACTTCTAAAAGTATGTCCAGGCCTCAAGTGTTAACATTCTAGTAAACTGAGGATTTACGTTATGAAGAAAGGCTAGAGAACCTGGGTTGTTCTCCTTCGGGCAGAGAAGGTTAAATCAGTAGAGGGGTTTAAAATCACAAAGGGGTTTGATTATTTTTTATTCATGGAATATGGGCACTCTGACTCAATCAGCATTTATTGCCCATCAATAAATTGCCCAGACAACAGCTAAGCGTCAACCGCATTGATGTGGGTCTAGAGTCGCATGTAAACCATAACAGGTAAGGGGGGCACATTTCCTTTCCTAAAAGACTTGAGTGAATTAAATAGTTTTTTTTAAAATTGACAGTGTTTATATGGATGCCATTTTTAAAAATTCCAGGTTTTGTTTTTTATTGAATTCAAACTTACCATCTGCCAAACTGGAATTTTAACTATTGTCCCCAGAATATGACTAGACAGCTTGTGAGAGACAGGTGTTGCCTCCTTTATGGAAGGCCACTGCAGAACAAGCCAATTAGGCAATTAACAGCTCACCAGGCCTTTAAAGGGCTCGGGATCCTGGGCATGGAAAGCAGAGAGGTGTTGACTAATCAGAGCCAGATGTACATGCATGCACACCCTGAAGGCCCAGGATCGTGGAGCAACTCTGGCCAAAAGTAATTGATGTAGGAGGGGTTCTGTGGGGTGGAGCAGATTGGGTAGGTGGGTTTGGCAGGAGGAAGCTGGGCTGGGGGATGTGGGTGGGAGGGGGATTGGGGGAATGGAATGAGGTGCCGGGCAAGAAAGGTGCTCTAAGTGTTAAGAAAATGTACTGAATGTTGGTTATGTGGACTTCATGAACATGTTGACAAAATACCACAAAGAATGTTGCTGAACAGCGAGACTTTGGAGTGCAGGTTCATAGCTCCTTGAAAGTGGAGTCACAGGTAGGTAGGATAGTGAAGAAGGCGTTTGGTATGCTTGCCTTTATTGGAAAGTGCATTGAGTATAGGAGTTGGGAGGTCATGTTGCGGCTGTACAGGACATTGTTTAGCCCACTTTTGGAAATATCGTGTGCAATTATGGTTGCCCTGCTATAATGATGTTATGAAACTTTAAAGAGTTCAGAAAAGATTTACTAGGATGTTGCGAGGGTTGGAGGGTTTGAGCTATAGGTACAGGCTGAATAGGCTGGGGCTATTTTCCCTGAAGCATCTGAGGCTTAGGGGTGACCTTTATAGAAGCTTATAAAATCATGAGGGGTATGGATTGGATAAATAGACAAGGTCTTTTCCTGGGGTGGGGGAGTCCAAACCTAAAGGGTTTAAGGTGAGAGGGGAAAGATTTAAAAGGGGCTTGAGGGTCAACTTTTTCACACAGCGGGTGATGCATGTATGGAATGAGCTGCCAGAGGAAGCGGTGGAGGCTGGTAAAATTTCAACATTTAAAAGACATCTGGATTGGTATATGAAAAGGAAGGGTTTAGAGGAATATGGGACTAGATCGGTTTAGGATATCTGGTCGGCATGGACGAGTCGAACCGAAGGGTCTGTTTCTGTGCTGTACATCTCTCTGACTCTAAATGCCAAAATTAAAGTTCGTGGAATGGGAGGGTCACTGGTAGTTCGCATGGGAATTGGTCTTGAGGTTGGAAGGAGGTTGTGGAAACTGGTTGTTTTGCAAACTGGTGGATGATAAAATGTTTCTATTCTTCCAGATTGTGTATTTTAACATATATGTAAGTGTACATATATAAATCAGATTTGTGATTATTGATACATTTTTATGGGTTGGGGAAGTTTTAAGCATGTGCTTGAAAGTAGCCTCCCCTTGGGGAGTTGAGTCACACATCTCTCTCTTTTTCTCCCTCAACTTATCAGCAGAAAAGAAAATTAGAAAGCTGAAACCTAGTGATACGTACTGAAACAAGTACTGTTGATTACCATATATAATAGATAAGGTGAATAGTCAAGGACTTTTCCCCAGACTAGGGGAGTCCAAAGCTAAAGGGCATAGGTTTAAGGTGAGAGGGAACCTTTTTCACAAAGGGTGGTACATGTATAGAAAGCTGCCAAAGGAAGTGGTAGAGGCGAGTACAATTACAACATTTAAAAGAAATTTAAACAGAAACATGGATAGGAAAGGTAGAGGAGGATGTGGGCCAAACGCAGGCAGATGGGACTAGTTTCGTTTGGGAAACTTGGTCAGCATAAGCAAGTTGGGCTGAAGAGTCTGTTTCTGTGCTGTATGACTCTAGGACTCCATATGGTCTCAAGTGCAGCAGCAACTGCACTCGTCTTGCCCCTACCAACGCCCAACTAAGATTGCACAACATATTACAGATTTGGATAGGGTGTGGAATCCAACCTTTCTGTATGGCTTATGAATACATAATTTAGTCCATTTACCTGTTAAACCATCAGTGAGACTGTAGCAATCTGCTTCACACCCTGGTAATGATCTCCTACAACCTCTTCCGTCAGGCAGAAAATACAGAAGCCTGAACACACACACAAGCAGCTTCTTTCCGGCCATTATCAGACTGTTGAATGGACTCTAGCCTCAAATAATGTAACCTGTATGCCTCTAAGTCTTTTTGATTTGTACATCCTTGCTTGCTGTGATCTGCCTGTACTGTTCGTGACCAAAGCTTTTCACTGTATTTTGGTACGTGACAATAAAATCAAAAAAGGTAACAATGCATAGATCCAATTCTGAGACTTCTTAGGAATTTTGAAAGAATCTAAATGGAATACTTTCTATCAACATGGTGTTATGGCAATGGCAGTCTCATGTCAGAAAGATAACAGCTGTAGGAAGTTATTGAAAACATGATCTGCCCACTGTTATTGACTATTAATGACATGCTAGTAGCTAACAGCTGAGAATTGTAAGGGAGTTGTCAAGATTACATGTTACAATTTGAGTCATCATTTATAGTTTGAAAAATTGAGAAATGTTGTTGTACAATACCTGAACTCCTTGTGGACTCTGTATCAAGACTAGCCACTGTACTAGATCTGGAAAGACCACCCAAACTGGAATCTACTGACTGAGAAAAGAAAGCACACAAATATGAAGGGCTTTAAAAGATAAATGAGTAAATGTTACATTTATTATCTGCAGTGCTTTGCAGTATCTCTCAAACATCTTAAGGTTACCCTATATCTTCAGAACAATGTCTATGCAGAGTATTTAGGAACAGCTAACATAAAGCATCTGCTGTTGAAACAATACCTCCTAAATATTTCATCCGACACTTGGGTTAGAGTTACATTTTATTAAAGAGAATATTTGAGTGAACTAAATTACCAGTTTCAACAACACAGACAGAAAATGCCAATTTTCAGCATTTAATACTAAGTATAAAAATAAGCAACAGCTATGGATGTACTGTTCAAAATACCCTAGAAAAATGCAAATAGAGGAACAGTTGAAAATTGTACAAGTAACTCCAGCTGCAACAAGATAATGCTGTGAATTAAAAATGTACATGGGCAAATTTTGATTAAATTCTACTAAATGAAAAGTTAATCCTTCAGTTATATCCTTTTACTCCTTGTCTGAGCTACCAAACTGCATCACAGATGTTCTGTTTCAGCATTGATCGGTTACAACAATTGCTCCAAAAATATAAAACCTCCTAACTTATTTTAATTTCTTCAGTATGAGGAGGAAATTATACAGTTAGTGACTCACATCTGCCAGAATATATTAACGTGTGGTGACAATTTTGCCCAGGGTTTAGCAACCTATTTGGTCACTTGGTACAGAGGCTTTCAATCATGAGAGGGTGCAGAACTGAAATACATGAAGTTTTAGAATTCTCTTGTTGCATAAAAGTTGATAATTGATCAATTTTCCAAACAAAGGTCCTGCGACATAGATGTGACTTGTCCTTACCTAAATTTCATATTGGCGATAGGTCTTGTCTTGGCCCTGCTGCATTGAGTATAAAGCAATAGACCATTCTTGATTACCACAAGCAAGATATTTCAGCCAACAGGTTTAATATTTGATCACCAAGTCTCTTGGGCATAAACTTGCATGATTTTATGGTTACAGGTCCATAAACTGAAAAATGTTTAAACATTAGAGGCTAATTTCTCTATATTTTAGGTTTAAAGCTTGGAATGTTTTTGAAATTGCACAGACTCCGAATAAAACATCTGCTAACTTAAGGAATGGATGCAGCAGAAACTTCTTGAACTTCCAGCCTTCCCCAGTTAAACTTGAAATTTGGTAAACTTCAACAAAAAGCCACAAAGAAAAATCAAACAATGTATCTTTTCAGGACAATTGCAATGGAGCGGTTTCAAAATTCAACAACTTATCCCTTCCAATGGCAGTGAGAGAACTATTTTTATCGGTGACCTATGGTACATTTGAGCATAAAGACATTGCAGCCACAATCAGGTGCGTTCTTCCCTGGAACCTACAAGCATTCATTTCCTTGCAAGGATTATTAACTGTATCTTTAATTATAATTAATGTTTAGCAGAATGTAGGTGTTAGATGTTCTGAAGTCTTGATAAATAATACCTCCGGAGTAGGACCAAGGAGCTCTTGATGTAGAAAAGTGGAAAACTAAACTGATTATATTTTTTACATCTTCTTTACCCTAGAAGTTAGTTATAATGAAACTGATCTCAGTTAATTCAATACAAAGCCTTTCTACATGATGGAATGCTTGCTCACCAGTGTTATCTACTCACAAATACACTGACGCAATAACTGAGGTATATGAGCCTCCAGTAAATTTGATTTCAGAAGGAACCAACATTGAGAAAAAATTGTTACTTAGTAAGTTAAGTGAAAATTTGAGATTTTTTTTTTAAAAATGAGATTAATCAATGAGGATGGAACACGAATTAATAATTTGGGGAAAAAACTGTATACTGAACAGGTATTTGTAATGCAATGAAAAGATGAACTACAATACATATGTTCCTCGTTTACATATAACTTTAAGATCTGGTGTTAAACAGTTGCCAAGAGCTACTTGAAAGGATCATAAATGAATAGGTAATAGCCTTGAACAACAACAGCAGATAGAGACTTGATCCAATATTTCACAAAGCTGGTTTCCACAGCATTTCTCCATGTGTGTTTACTAAATATTCATATAAAGTAATCTGTCTTACCAAATGAGAAACAAATAGTTGAAATCTATCATTTTTGTGCCATTTTTTGTTGTGTAATAGGAACTTATTCACACCTGATTGTCTGGTAACATCTTTGGCGACATTAGTTAAAGCTTGACCAAGTATAACCGTGGCAATGAAAACCCACCTTGCTTTTTGTGCTGATTTCACTGCCTTGAGAACTGCTACTGCTGTGACGTTTCTTCCCTTTTCGAAACATATCTCACCATTGTTTCATAGGTTTATCTGCTCTTAAAAACAGACACCGAGAAAGACACAAAGCACATATTAAACCTCATCTACTTCAGACAAAAAAAAAATCATTTGACATTATTGATGACATCCAAGTTACACCAAATCTTCACCAAAATATATATAAATCTGACAACTCTGGTGGTGAGACTTCAATGAGGAATAGGAGATCATGTGACAAAAGAAACTACTGTGTGCATTTATATAGAGGGATTTGAAAACAAGGATGAGAAATTTAAAAGTCAATTTTTAACATGGTAACCTGGATCAATGAGCAAAGCGTGACTTGTGAGTTAGGACACCAGTAGCCCAGGCAACATCAAATTTATGGAGAGCAGAATGTGGGAGATCAGCCAACAGTGTGTTCCAATAGTCAAGTTTAGAGGTACAAAGGTATAAATGAGAGTTTCAGCAACAGATGAGCTAAGGTAGGGCCAATGTGAAGACATGTTGATGATGCGATCATATAGTCAAAAGTTCATCTCAGGATGAAATGTAGCAGCAAGGTTGCAATAAAATCTAGTTTAGTCACAGACAAGTGCATGTGAGAGAGTTGAAGTCAGTAGCTAGGGAACACCACCACCTGCAAGTTCCCCTCCATCCCATGCACCATCATAACTTGAAAATACATTGCCGTCCTTTAGTGTCACTTAGTCAAAGTCCTGAAGCTGACTTTTTAACGGCGACGTGGGTGTACCTCCCCTACACAGACTGAAATTAAGAACATAGAACAGTACAGCACAGTACAGGGCCTTTGGCCCACGATGTTGTGCCAATCTATCATCCTACCAAGATCAAACTACCCTGCATACCCTACAATATACTATCCTCCATGTGCCTATCCAAGAGTCGCTTAAAAGTCTCTAAAGTATCTGACTCCACTACCACTGCCGGCAGCGCATTCCATACTCCCATCACCCTCTGTTAAAGAACCTACCTCTGACATCTCCCTTATATCTTCCTTCAATCACCTTACAATTATGACCCCTCATAATAGTCATTTTCACCCTGGGAAAAGTTGTTCAAGAAGGCAGCTCACCGCCATATTCTCAAAGGCAATCTGGAATGGACAATAAATGCTAGCCTCCCTAGTGACCCACATGTCGCATGAACAAATTTGTTTAAGTTTGGAGCATAGAGAGGAAGCAATGACTTCAGTTTCCTTCATATTGAGGATTTTGTTCCTCCAGTATTGCTAAGTCAACAACAGTGGTAGAATTGAGAGGCAGTGGTGAGGTAGAGCTGAATGTTCTCAGCAGCCATGTGGAAACTAATAATGTATTTTTGGATGATGTCATGAAGGTGCAGCATGTAGATGAGAAACAGGAGGGAATCAAGGATAGATCTTGGGGGTTACCGTAAGTAACTCTGTAGAATCAGGAGGAGAAAAACTGTAAATGATTTTCTGTAGACAATTGGACAGATAAGACTGGAAGCAGGTGGAAGTAGTCCCATGCATCTGGATAACAGTGCCTTGTAGGCAGCTGTTGTGCATAACTGTGTTAAAAGCTGCAAACAGGCTGAGGCAAACAAAAGGAGTTTAACAACTGAATCCAAGAGTTTAACAGCCTCTATAATCAGTCTCCAGCATGCCATGTTTAGATACTCTGGAGTAACTTGCTCTGGCAGGTAATAATGGTCTTTTTAAACAGTGTGTAGATCTTTGTCTGGCCACTCTCCGTAGATAAGAATCAGAAAATAGCTAGGTGACTTATCAGACATCGAAAATTCCTGCAAGACTATTCAAATACTTAGACCCCCAATTCTGGAATTTGCTAAACTTTTATGCTTCTCTGCTTCTCCTTCCTTCCTTTAAAAAGTTCCTTAAAACCTTCCACTTTATGGTTCACCCTACAAAAGGCTGTCTCAAAGGATACAGCAGAAAATCAATTTTGTATGTTAGCACAATCACAATACAGTGCCAATACGCAATTCAGCATCTACCTGTAGATACCAATAGTGCAGCAATAGCAGAGTGTCTCTGATCTCAGCATTATAACCATTCAAAAAATTTAAACCGCACCCACAGTGTTGAAAATGAAAGAACTACTGAACTTTTCTCTTCAAAGACAGAACGAAACAGCTACACCACCTGCAAGCAGGTAGAGAACTACCACACTGACACCGAACAGAGATAGGGAGTCAGAAATCCAGTGGATGCCGGGCAATTAAGGGATTGTAAGATGTGAAATCAGCCCTGATTTTATAAAGTCATTACCGATCACGGTGCTAAATTGTGAAGGAATAGAAATCAGCTCAGACCAATGTACAATACACCAATCATGCAAACAGTGAGGACGAAAACGTCAGTGATGATCGTACAACATGCTAAGTGACTGCAAGACAATGAAACTGATAGGCAACAGCAACAGAGAATAACATGTACTTCTCCAGATGGGTACCAGATCACAAGACTAGTCGACTTGTCAAAGCGCTAAAACATCATAGCAAAGTTCATATGATTAATCTTGATAAATCTGTTTTCATATGTCTACATCATTATTCTACAAAACATGCCAAAGTAGAATGATATCTTCTCTGTTTGGGACTTATTTTCTTAAGGAAAAGGGGGATGTTGTGTTATGTCTTATAGTAGTTGTGTGATGTACCTTTAAGGAATATGCTTATGATGTATCATGGCATGTGACCTAATGGTATAAAGCTCAGTTTCCATCTTGCTGAGCTCTATCCTCTTGCAGCACGACATGCTGAAGGAAATATACTGTAGTGCACCTGAATTGCTTTCTTAAGCCCAGACACGCAAATGGCTGTGATTGTAGTGTACATACAAGTGGAGTCATACAGCATGGAAGCAGACCCTAACTCTCTGTCACATCTCTTCCAGGTGTGTCCACCTTGAAGAAGTTCTGCTCCTCTCTCCAATAGGATTTCTGTTCTAATCTTCTTGTTTACCATCATTACTTTAGTTGTTGCTCCTAGTATTTGATAAGATATTTGCCAAACTCACTTCCACAGCCACATCACATTCCTCAGTGACTGCCTCCAGCTCAGACTCACCCTAAGTGGAGTCCAACTGAAGTTTCAACCTTCATGTTTCAAATTCACCCAGGATCATAAGTATCTCCACAATATACAATGTTCCTCAGACAGATGGCCTGACCGTATCCTAAGATCCACACTCAGTGTTGTGCACCACAGTATGCACATGCTTGGCCTCTCTTTCCATCAGCACTACCTCATGTTGGCTCAGTTGTCCTATGCATCGCATCACACCTCCCCCACCCCTGTTCTTCTTCATTCTCTGACTTGTTCATTGTTCCAACAAGAAACTGTTTCAATTCCTTTCATTCATTAAGGAATGCAAGCTGCAACAACTCGGAGACACCCACACGCCTCTGGGAACTTCCTCCACTCCCCTTCCTTGTTTCCATCCCTTCTCCAAACCTTACGTCTTGTTGAGTATTTACTATCCCTTCTGACCTTCCACTCTCTGCTGAATGTACTCAGCAAAGGTCTTAGACTAATCTTTCTGTGCCCCAGCTCAGTGGGCATGGTATAACGTTGAACTCTTCTTCCGTCACCTTTGCATTCATGCCCATTTCTTTGGACAAGAGCCTTTCCCTGTCCCACTGACTCCTTCACCTGTCTCCAACATTCTATTCTCCCTCCACCTGGACCCCTCCCTCCTTTCTTTAACCGCAAACAATTTGTTCAATGAGAACTATCAACATCACATTGATCACCTTAATTTCTTTTCCCTGCCCCGCTCACCCATTTGAATCTATCTCCCTCTGAACTGAGTGCACTCCGTGCTCTCAGATCAAACCTTTGCCGACAAGGGTTGTGCTGTTGTTGTCTGGTGTACTGATGTCTATACTGCAGAGGCTGACTGCCAGCACTCACTCTCCCTCTATTTCCCATGGACCATGATCCCACTATTGAACAACAAGAAAGGGTGCAGAAAAGATTTAGAAGAACGTTGACGGGATTGGAGTGTCTGAGTTTTAGGGAGAGGCTGAATAGGCTGGGGCAATTTTCCCTGAAGTGTCGGAGGTTGAGGAGTGACCTTATAGAGGTTTATAAAATCATGAGGGGCATGGATAAGGAGAATAGCCAAGGTCTTTTCCCCAGGGTAGGGGAAGGATAAAGTGAATAGCCAAGGTCTTTTCCCCAGGGTAGGGCAGTCTAAAACTAGAGGGGTTTAAAGTTAGAGGGGAAAGATTTAAAAGGGACCTAAGGGGCAACTTTTTCATGGTGCTACGTGTATGGAATGAGCTGCCAGAGGTGATGGAGGCTGGCACAAATACACATTTAAAAGGCATCTGGAAGGGTACCTGAATAGAAAGGGTTTAGGGAGAAACGGGCCAAATGCTGGCAAATGGGACAGATTCATTTAGGACATTTGGTTGGCATGATTGAGTTGAACTGAAGGGTCTGTTTCCATGTTGTACAGCTCTATGACTCTATGACCTTATCAAAAGCCTTCTGAAAGCCCAAGTAAACCATATCCACTGGCTCCCCCTTATCAATTCAAAAAAATCCGGTAGATTTGTCAAGCATGCTTTCCCTTTTATAGATCTATACTGACTCTGTCCAATCCTGTCACTGTTTTCTAAAATGCCCTACCATTAAATCTTTTATAGTGGACGCAAACATTTTCCAAACCATCAACATTGAGTTAACTGGTCTATAATTCCCTGTTTTCTCTCTACTTCCTTTTTTTAAGTAGTGCGGTTATATTAATTACCCTTCCTTAGAGTACCATTTGCTACTCTTAAAGAAATTCGTGGTGGTTTTCCCTAACTAATCAACATTTGTCAAGTGGTGCTAATTGTGCCCTCAGTTACTATTCCTAAGAGTGGCTCAGTGGCTAGCATGGTGCCTCAGAGCACCAGGGACCTAGTATTGATTCAACCTCTGGTGACTGTCTGTGTGGGCTTTACACTTTCTCCCCGTGTCTGCGTGGGGATTGTGTAGGCAGGTGGATTAGCCATCATAAATGTGCGGTTAGGGGGTTAGGTCTGGATGGGACGCTTTTTGGAGGGTTGGCGCAGACTCAATGGGCCGAATGGACTCTATCCACACTGTATTCCGTAAAGATCTTCAACACCACTTAAGTTAAATCAACCAGTTTATGATTACTAGGTATATTGTACACTCTTGTTCGACCAAGGATGTAGCACTTACAACCTTCAGCCCTCTGGCAACACCCTGGTATCTAAGGAGACCACCATTCACTTCCCTCAGTATCCTTGGATGTACCTGCTCTGATCCTAGTGAAGATCATCCCTTAAATACAGCCAGTCAATCTAGTACTTCATTACATTTACCCTTAAGACATTACATCACTGAATGGCCTGGATTAAAGGTTAAATAGAACCAAGAGTTTAATTGTAAAAGACAGATTCACTGCTGACGAGCACCAACATATAACATGCCCAACAACTTGAATCTCAAAAAAAAACACATCGATTATAACATGTATAGAACGTGCTATATTTTAAAACCTTCAAAAATAAAACGAATTACCTGACAAATTACCCGGTTTCTTACAGAAATAACACGATTATCTCAGTGCACAATATGAGACTCTTTGTGATGAATCCCCTCTCAAGACTCAAGTGTTTCACTTTGTTGTGTCCCCCGCCCTCCCAGCCACTGAGGGGTGGAGGTGGTTTCCAGCCGGAGGTTTTCTGCGGCCGGACCGGAAGTGCCCAGGCCGGCATGGCGGCTAAACGGAAAGCGGAGATTTTTGTCCCAGCGGAGGAGAGCGATCAGCTGCTGATCCGCCCGCTGTGAGTGCCACCCCACCACCTCACCACCTCACCACCTCACCCACTTACCCACTTCCACGGCATCGAAATAAGCTTAAGATCCCACTGCAGGGTTACGGCTGCCACAACCCATCCCTGTCAACCTTCCCCTATATCCGCCCTCAGCTCTCTCCATCTCCC